TATAATTCCTAATAAGCTACCCAAAAAGAAACTATCTGAACATAGTTTTTGTGGGTTTTTGTATTTCTTTTCCGTATACGTCCATGCTTCAGTATGAGTTAGGGGGTCAATCCGTGCGACGCGATCAATTCCGCTACTGTTATTTGTTTATCAATACTGATTACTAAAAATTGCATTACAAGGTTTAAGCTTGCATTGAAGGATTTTCTCAGGGTGAAATTTTTTGTGTTCCTCCAAAGAACTTTTACGAATAAACAGCTTAAGATAAATTTCGCACTTGTAAGGTTTTTCTCCAGTGTGCATTTTTATATGATCTTTCAAATTGTGTTCTACACTAAAATGCTTAAAACAAATTTCGCAGTTGTAAGGTTTTTCTCAGTGCGCATTCTCACATGTGTTTTCAAATTACCGGTTTCAGTAAACTGTTTAAAACAAGTTTCACACTTTTAACGTTTTTCTCAATGGTGAGCTCTCAAATCTGTTTCCAAAGAACCTGTTTGGCTAAACTGTTTAAATCAAATTTCACACTTGTAAGAATTTTCCCCAGTGTGTGCTATCAAATGTCTTTTCAAATCACATTTCTGAGAAAACTCCTTAAAACAAATTTCACACTTGCAAGGATTTTGTTCTATGTGAATTTGCATATGATTATTTAATTCACTTTTTCTGGCCCACTGCTTAAAACAAATTCCACACTTGTAAGGTTTTTCACCTGTGTGCGTTTTTATATGATCTTTCAAATGGTGTGCTACACTAAACTGCTTAAAACAAATTTCGCACTTGTAAGGTTTTTCCCCAGTATGCAATCGCATATGACGTTTCAAACCAGATACTGTAGTAAATTGCTTAAAACAAATTTCGCACTTATAAGGTTTCTCTCCTGTGTGTAATCTCAAATGTGTTTTTAAATTACTTGCTTTGGTAAACTGTTTAATACAAATTTCGCACTTATAAGGTTTTTCTCCTGTGTGAACTATCATGTGTTTTTTTAATGACCTTCTATGGGCAAGTTGCTTCAAACAAATTTCACATTTTAATGTTTTTGCTTCAACAGGTTGACAAGTACGTTGTTCTTTATTACACGAACGTACCGGTATTGTTTTCATACTTCCTGATGTATTCTCTTCTGCGAAAAAGCCTGAAATAAAAATAAAATATATGTTTTTTTTACTTCAAGAACAAATTTACCGCGATATTTAGTCTGATTATATATTTAATACACTGTGCTCACAGATCAACTAGTGACACATAATTGCTATTAGTTGATATGTCAATCAAAGATATGATATAATAATCAAAGGCCATTAAACGTTTTTGTGTTGTATTTTTATGCTGTCAAAGTGCTGTATATGATCTTGTTTAATTTTATATTATAATTACTTATTTACTTTAACAGATTACAGTATATTATTTTTCTTCTATTCGGTAAATTCTCATTGTCAAACTGGCTAACACATGGTAATCGTTATAAATACACTTGGCGTTAATTATCTCGAAAGCACAGAAAACACTACAAAATATCATATTTCTGTGAACCATTTATTTAAATTATTGTCTTTCAAAAGTTCAATATAATAGCGATCATTTTGGGGATGCACTTGCCCCACTAACCTACGGACTACCTACGATGAGTGGTTAGAGAGTTTGTGCCCATACCAAGGGAACACAGATCAAAACGAGACATCGGACTGTAAACATCTCTAGTTTATCGCAGACGCGGACCGTTCTTTCGCGCCGCGGTGCACCAGCGTCGATTTTTTACCCACCAAGGAGCTCAGCCACTATTTTTCTACCCAAGCTATAATTAATGCACCATACACTAACAGTAAGTGATTTTCTTTGTGCAGACAAATCAACGAGTTACGCCAGGTATTTTTGTGATGTTTTAATTAATTGCTAACTTATTCACAATCAAAATATTGCATTTTTTCTTTATTATTCTAATCATTAAACCAGCGACCTCAGTAAATTTTTCACAAAACAATAGTTTTATTTTCGCATGCTAAAATTCGAACAAAGCAGAGGTCAAAAGCAAAAGTTTCGAATTTTTAAAAAAGTTAGTAACCAAATTAACTGATAAGAACAAGATCCTACAGGAAAACGTAAACTGGCGAAAAGAAAAAAGTATTTTGAGACAACTAAGAAAACTTCAAACTCCCGCCAAAAAGACAATAAACAAAACTCCTCTCCTTCCGCCCAAACATTGGGCTTTGGTATCGGTAGTGTCTCCACCCATGCTGATATGCTGTAACAAAAAATGTGTGACTGGGAGGTGTAGGACGCCAATGTAATAAAAGTGTGTATGTGTAATGTAACACGCCCAGTCCTAACATATGGTACAGAAACTTGGACTTTAACAAAAAGCAATGAAAACATGTTAGGATGTTTCGAAAGAAAAATACTGAGGCGAATCTATGGAGCGGTAAATGAAAATGGTGTCTAGAGAAGACGATACAACTTCGAACTCTATAGAATATACTAGGAACCAGATGTCATAAACCACATTAAGATACGACATCTGAGGTGGGTAGGCCATGTAATGCGGATGGAGCAAACCAACCCAGCTAGAAAAACGCTCCTTGATAGACCTATTGGTCAAAGAAGAGGAAGACCCAGAACAAGATTCCTAGATAACATAGACCAAGATATGAGAAATATGGAAATACATGCTTGGTGGAGGAAGACGATGGGTAAGGACGCCTAGAAGAGAATTATTGGGGAGGTAAGGACCCACACAGGGATGTAAAGCCAAAATGATGATGATGATGTGTAATGTAACACAAGTATTTGGAGTAATGTAACAAAAACAAATAAATTAAAGCTGGCTAGCAGAATGTGCCGGAGAGTGACTACTTGACACTCAAAAGAGGATTCAGCCAATTTGCATGCCCTACAGAGACCGTAAAGTGAGAATATGAATTACAAGTTACTAAAAAATAAATAGAAATAATGTAAATTAAAGTGGTAAATTATGGAAGTTGCTCTAAGCCAGGAAAGTATTAACATATACCTTCCAAGGTATCTTGTAAAGCTGTTTGCGGCAATAAAAGGGAAACAGGTATTAATTAAAATATTTAGTTTTCACCACAAATTTTAATCCTTATCCAAATATATAAAGTTTAATTTTTTTATAGCTACCCACCACCAATTATGTGCAGTCCACCTAGTTACTTACATACAAAAAAAATTGTAATAAATAAATAAATTTTCTGGTTATACACAACTGATTCTTGATAATCTGAATTTACAAATAATAAAATATAAGACAAATGTTAATGATTTGACCTAAAAAGGTAATTTACTGGCCTATTAGAGATGTAACGCTGTACTTTGGCTTTCTCAATCAAATATTCTGCTAAAGTAATGTGGACACTATCCTGAAGCGATAGATGTCAAAGGTTTAAATATATAATAATAAAATAACAATTAATAACCCTCTGATTAAATGTGTACACATAAAACCATACAACAGAGTTGAACGGGAGGATTTTAAAACCTCTATCTGTAGTTGACAACTAATCCTTAAAATGTATTCAGTAAATTATTAAAAAAAAAGATGGTTCTTATTATTAAATGAAATTGTAAAGGTTAAATATACAAAAAAAATATTATACAAAAAAATTTATTAAAATTGCTGAATAAGACTTAATACAAATGAATAGTGTTCCACACTCTAAATGTGGGAGGTCGTTCCGGCTGGTTCCCTGAAGTTGTCCGGGAATAGTTTTAGAGAGGTCTGGACCTCTGAAGGAACAGCTATGGGTGACAGGCAAATGTGTAAATCCAAACTTAATTATTTCTTTTTAAAACCAAAATCCAATAAAAAACAAAATACAGAATTCGTCCCATTGACTTCTGCTTGACTTCCAAAATAGGCAGCTCAGAGTGGCTATAAACCAAGTCACTCAAAAAAAACCAAACCAAAACTTTCTGACACTATTTCCAAAAAAAAACTTTAACGTTTAGAAAGACAGATAATGTCCAAAGTTCTTGACCCTATGGAGGCAACCAACTCGATTCTAAAAAGAAGAAAAATGTCAATAACAATAATGACAATCAAGCAAATGTCACTGCAAATGTAAATAATAATAATGTCCTTATTTCTATTAAAAAAGAAAATAAGGATGAATGGATGACGGTTGTAAGGAAAAAGTCGAGAACCTCTTTAGAAAATCAAGAATGAAGCAACCCAGCCACTGTTTGGAATTAATAAAAATTATGACAATCTACAACTTGCACAGAGAAAGTAATGTATTTTTGTAACATAAAGGATGTCCCAAAGATTTTAGAGGACAATAACATAATAGGAAGTATAAACCCGAAACAATGATTATAAAAACCAAATACGTGGGTTCCTTACAACTGAGTGTTGCCACAGAGAAAATTATCCAAATCATGGACTCTGAGCTGTGGCCTCAGGGAGTAAGATTTAATTTTTTTCGGAATTTGCAACACTGACTGAACAACGGGATTCCACCTTCAAAGTGAACTCCTTAGAACAGGTATTCTCAAACGCTTCAAAAAAGTGGATCTAACTGTTTTCCACTTAAACATACAATCACTCAGAAGCAGAATAGGCATATTAGAATGGAACACTGTAGACATAAATGTGAACATCCTTTGTATTACTGAACACTGGCTAACAAGGGAAGAAATTAAAATCAGTATCACCATTTTACTGTTGTTAAAAGCCTGTAAACAACCACCAAGCAAATGTTTGTGATGAAGATCACAAACATTGAATTATACATTTGTAAAATTAATAATGATTTAATGTGTTTTTTCAGATTAATAATAGTTATTTTTTTTATTCCTATTATTACCAGAATCCTAGAAGTAAGTACTATAAAATAATTAATTTTTAGGAGGAACACAGAGAAATGTAGTTTCAAAAACTTCAGGTGAAGTTTACTTGTTATCTGAAAAATTACTAACAAAGAAGTTACATTTGTGTGACACTAAACCCCCATACCCAATAACCTAGTGCCACAAAATGTCACTAAGTGTCACAAAATGAACTAATGAAATCATTATACTAGACAGAAATTCCCCAACATATAAAACTGTTGTGACTGTATAACAAACAAAATTAAAGGTGGAATAATTGAATGTATTTAAAATCAACTATAGAATAAATTAAAGTTATAAGTTCATTCTACATTTATTATTTATCTCACCTGAGTTATATTCATCAGCTTCATTCTTTATGATCCCCAAATCAAGGGATGTAGATAACTGACTCTCTACATATATTGGGTCACCTTCAACAAACTCTTCCTTAATTTCAGATTTTACTACCATAACTAATAAAAATATGAATTACACCAAATTGTTTGCTACTAATTATTATTATTTATCTTACCAGAGTTACCTTCTGGTTCATTACTCCCAGATCTCTCTTGGTTTCCCAGATCAAGGGATATGGATAGCTGACTTTTTATATACCTTGAGTCATCTTCAAAAAACTCGTCCTTAATTTCAGCTTTTTCTGTCATAGCTAATAAAAAATAGGAATTACCAAAACAATATCCTAGATACCTGCACAAACTTAATTCCTACTATTATAGGATATGTAATTTATATCAATGAATTCTGCCTCACTTACTGATGATTGTACAATGATTTTTATTGTCTGAAAAACATTCTTTTCATGTAATTTTCATTTAAAATATGTCCATAGATTTAGCAAAGAATATAGACGTCTATATTCTTTGGATTTAGGTTAAATTGAATTTTCGTACAATGAACATAACCTCTAGCTATTAGAGATATATTTGACAATTTGATTTGAAGTTTGGTTAAATCAGGGTTAAATTAATATACGTCAGTGTTGCCATATACTCTATTATTTCATACTCTCACATATAAAATTAGGGACAAGATTAATGAGAATTTAAAACAAACAAAAACGTGAAAAATACATATATAAATAAACAAAAATGTAAAAAATACATATATAATTAAACAAAAATGTGAAAAATACATATATAATTAAAATCATTAAAATTATACCTATAAATATTATAAAATAAAATTAAGGTAAATGTACCTATTATCGGCACCTTTAGCACGTTAAGCACAATGGAGCTTCATTTTAATTAGTTTAGTAACCAAATTACCTGAACAACGTGTATTGAGATTATGGTTGGGGCCATGGTACAAAGAATAACAGGTATGATACTCCCGAGAGAGAAATTGAGACGAGTTCGCGCATGACGTCACAATGAGAGAGATTTTAAATATTTCCCGTAAGAACGTTAGCAATCAGAACACAATTAATTTTTAATTGGCAATAAAAAATCATTTTAATGGATTAATAGAGTATTGAAAGTATTGAACTATTCCGGATTTATTAAAATATAGGTGTTTTATTATTTTGATTGAAAAAAATAATAATACAGTGAAAAAAAAAATAAATCTGTAAAATAAATTTGGGAGTTTTTTTTGTGTTTTTCGCTTTTTAATCCTAGAAAGGTAATCTTTATAAATTTTACGAGCTAGCTTTTGAGTGAATTGTCTTATTTGGCGCCAGTATCGAGGAGGAAAAAAGTCTTTGTCTAAACGTAAACAGAAGAAAATAATTTATCATAAATTATCTGCACTAAAATCGGAAAACAAATTAAACACAAGGTTTTAAGTTACAATTTTTATTAATTTTCTTTTACTCATTTCTTATATCTTCTTTAAGTTTTAGGTTTAATTTCCTAATTCTAAAATATATTCGAGACCGGAAGAAAAGATGTTTGATTTTATAATCACATTCAATGTTCTCCGATAAGTCAATTAGTTGTTGTATATAATTTTTGCCTGATTTTAATTGTTGTTCAGATCCATTGAAATTATTAAAAATAATATTTAGTTCATTAATTTTTGCCACCAATTCTTCTGGAGGTTTCCTTAGACCGCCTTCGGATACTTGATCAATCCACGTGTAAGTGGAAGTATCCGTAGTTTCAGGCAGATCTAATTTCTTACATATATACCCACTGACATATTCCAGTACATCATAATGAAGTTGGTCTAGTTCTTCCATGTCTGCATCCACTTCTTCTTTTTCTGCTTCGCAGGATAAATTTAAAAAATATGTTTCACTTAACAAAACTTCTCCCAAGTTATCAATTGATCCATCAATGACCTTATCAGCTTCTGTATTGCCAGCTTCAGATAAAGAACCTTCATTTCTCCCTAAAATATGGTTTTTTAACCGGTAGCGAAATTCCACAGCATCGGGATGGTCATGTAATCCACCAACCCTACTAATATTGCCAAAAAAATTTTCGAGTACATCTTGATTTAAGTTGTATGTAAGGATGTATTTTTTATTAAATTTAGTTTTTATATTGTAAAGTTTGTATAGTTCTAATTTATTTGTCTTTATTCTAATTTATTGTCTATAATCTAATTTATTAAAACTCACGATAGCTAATTACTAATTTATTAAATAACTTTACAGTTGTATTTATTTCACGTTTCGTTACATTTAAATACCGCGTTTACCGATCTTCTTATGACTGACTCAAATACAAAAATCTTTCATTTATATACACAACTGTTGTCATCTGGAACTTTCGGCAAACTTCCTGAATAGTCTCGTATTTTGGTGAAGGCGCTCGACTCGTTTTTCAACCTCGAGACGTGGATGACTCACTAAAATTAGTGTCTAGAGATTTCTGGTAAACAACTGGTAGCTAAGCTCAGGTATATTTTGACCTACAAATTACGAGAATCAATAAAAAAGAATTAGTCATAAAATATTTACAGTTCTATATGCCATAACATTTAAAATCGTAACATTGCCCCCCTCTTAAAAGATGGTTCCTCCTGGAACCTTGTCGGGACTGGAACTGGAACGACATGCTGATATCGGCAACTGGACCCTCTTTTACAACTTCCAGTTGTATAGAAATGACAAGGGACGGTTTTCTCTCCGCAGCAGTAACTATGCGGATTGCAACAGACTAACACCTGGACTTCGGTGTCTTTAAAGATTTCCTCCACCATGTTTCGTATAACCCTCCAATCTAATTGGCGGCACTCCAACTTTGGCATGGCTAACTTTTGCACGTCGGACTCTAGTACGTGCTCTCTCAACTGAAGTAAGGCTTCCCATACATCTCGGTAGGTAGGTTGGTCACGGGCAGTGTCTTTTGTTACCAGGTAGAAAAGGTAACGTGATGCATCTTGAAGTTTCAAGGTTTTACCAGGAGCTGGCACTTGGCATTGAAGTTCTGCAACTCGACCAAACTTCCTTCGAAAGACGGATGCCAACCCTGGTGCATCTTTGATACTGGCCGGGATGGTAAGGGCCAGTGAGTAGTCATCGGGAAGCGCGAGTAGATCTTGCCTTTCTTCAGTGGTAACACCATGTCTTGCTTTACCGGTACCTCCATAGGCACCCATGAATTCCTCAAACGTGAGGTCAGACACATGGACTTGGTTTACTTCCACTTCTTCATCTACGTCGTGGTCACCCTCGAAAGACGCCAGCCGGTTATGGTGTACTATCATCGGCTTTCCTCTCGGAATCTTGCTTATTCGGTAAATAACATCATTGATCTTCTCCATAATGAGGTATGGACCTTCCCAAAACTGCTGCAATTTGGGAGAACAACCTTTTCGCTTTTTGGGGTTATAAAGCCAGACTTTATCGTTCTTCTTAAAACACCCCTTTTCGGCTTGCGTATCGTACCGTTTCTTCATTCGGTCACTAGCGATCTGGAGATGGGAACGGACCAACTCGTGTACATCGTCCATTCTTCTTCGTAATTCGATCACATAATCTTCACCTGCTACATCTTCTCCAGGTCGACACCCAAACTCTAGATCACAAGGTAGTCGCATCTCGCGTCCGAATAGGACTTTGGCTGGTGTCTGGCCTGTTGATTCATTAACAGCAGATCTGTAGGCCATTGTGAAGAACGGGAGATATTGGTCCCAGTCTCGCTGATGATCGGACACCATCTTTGTCAAATACTTGCCAACTGTTCTATTCATTCGTTCTACCATACCATCCGATTGCGGATGATAAGCCGTAGTCCTTGTTTTCTTCATACCTAGTCTATCACATATTCCTTGGAATAAATCGCTTTCGAAGTTCCTGCCTTGGTCACTATGGATCTCCAAAGGCACTCCAAATCGGCTGATATATTCTTGGATCAACTTATCTGCAACGGTGGCCGCTTTCTGGTCTGGAAGTGCGTAAATCTCGACCCACTTAGTGAAGTAATCCATTACTACCAACATGTACTTGCCTCCATTATCACTTTCTGGAAACGGCCCAGCAATGTCCAAAGCTATTCTTTCAAACGGGCTTCCAACATTATATTGTCTCATAGGAGCTCTCCTTTTTCGATAGGGCCCGTTACTCGTAGCACAAATAGTACATTTCTTACACCAGTCGTTTACATCGTCGGAACTGTTCATCCAATAAAACCGTTCCCGAATTCGCTGAAGGGTCTTTTTCACACCAAAATGCCCTCCTGATGGACTGTCGTGTAACTGACGAAGTACTTAGGCTATTCTGCTCTTTGGAATCACCAACTGTCTTCTCTTCTCTGAACCGTCATCATTTTCCAGGACTCGTTTGAGCAAGCCATCTTCCATGATAAATGAGTCCCACTGGGCCCAATACGTCTTAACTATTGAGCCTAGGTTCGATATTTCTTGCCAAGGTGGTCGACGGTTTTCCTCTTTCCATTTTCGGATTTTCTGTATAACTGGATCTCTCTCTTGTTCTTCCCTGATCTTGGTAGGCGTCCAGTCGTCGTGGACCACCGTCGTTCTTAGCACTGCTGCTTCCTTGGATTCCGTTTTGTTGCAGTGAGAACACTCTGCTGGGCATGGCCTTCTGGAAAGAGAATCGGCGTTTCGGTGGCTAACTCCGGCCCGGTGCTCAATCTTAAAATCATATTCTTGGAGTCGTTCGATCCACCTGGCTATCTGACCCTCTGGATTCTTAAACTGCATCAACCACTTAAGGGCGGCATGGTCGGTTCGGATTAAAAACTTCCTTCCATAGAGGTATTGATAGAAGTGCTCTACTGATTTCACTACTGCCAGAAGTTCTCTTCTCGTGACGCAATAATTTCGCTCAGGTTTTGAGAGGACTTTACTAAAATATCCAAGGACTCTTTCCTGTCCTCCTTGAATCTGAGACAGCACTCCTCCAATTCCCACATTACTTGCATCTGTATCTAAGATGAACTCTCCTTCTGGCAGTGGATACCCTAAAATTGGTGCTGTGATTAAATGCTTTTTTAAGGTTTCAAAGGCATTCTGGCAGTCTACATCCCAGCGGTATTCTCTTGCTTCCTCTGTAAGTCGCGTTAATGGTTTAGCGATATCTGCAAACTTCTTAATAAACCTCCGGTAGTAAGTACACAGTCCCAGAAAACTTCTCACTTGATGTTTGTCAGTTGGTTTTGGCCATTCCTTAATAGAATCGATTTTTCCCTTATCCACGGCCACTCCTTCTTTACTGACTATATGACCCAGA